TTCTACTAGGTATATCTAAGAACTAAGTCGTATAAAGCTAAACAGAATGTGATTATTCAAAGATATGGTTTGTCACGTGGTCAAAACAGGAATTTTCCTGCCTAAAACTAACTAAAATTCTACTAAAATAAACTATAAAAATCACTACAATGGTTTAGATATATCTAATCCACTTGCCAAACTTCAGGATCCTCTATCACGTTGGGGACTCCCTTGTAAAGCTCAAAAGTGCTTGTGAAAACCTTTTGCTGAGTGTGGAAAGGGATGAATGAGGATACCTCTGCCTTTCCTGGATCACTAGACACTAGACAAGCCCACCAATCTCAGATTGGAAGGTTTAATAAAGTGATAGTGAAGTGTATCAAAAGATAACTGTGGCTTAACAGGTGGACAAAGGGTTTAACCCAGTTTTATAAGGGTCTAAAAGGTTGATTTGAGAGTGAGAGAGTGAGTCTAGCTGATATTTCAATGGTAAGGGGATGGTATGTAATGGTATGTAAGGGTTTGTAAGGGTAGGGGGTATGAAATAGGTGGATACTAAACTGAGGGGAAAACAACTGAGAGGAGAGCCTCTTAAATACACAAAGGTGAGGGATTTTAGCTTCAGGGGAACAAGAGAATGAGAGATTTTAGCTGGCCAGAGCTTTACAATGAGGGGATTTAGCTAGCCAGAACATGTACATGAGGTATTTTGGCTGGTTGAGCAACCTACATGATGTCATAAGAGTTATTTTAGTTTGAACTAGAAGTCTACATGAGGGTTTTATGCTGGTGTAGCATTTTACATGAGGTGATGTACTAGTCTGCAAGCTAAGGTGAGGTGATGAGTATTACATGAGTGGTGTGAGATAGTCTGACAGCTGCAAGGAAGATTAACAAATGACATGACAACCTGCATGATGCCACTTGTAAATCCAGAGTGGTACCAGACCAACACTGCATGTGTCAACTGTCAGAAGATAGTGGAGTGGTGTGTATACATGTACTATAATGGTGTGAGAGTGTATGTAGTTGTCCTGCAATGTACATGTGGATAGTGTGAGTTATGTAATTTGTTGGTGTTGTTGAGTGTTGAAGTGTTGCCATGGTGGTTGAGTTGTGTATTGAGTGTGGTGATGGTCCAGAGAGTGTAGCTTTCCAATCCAGTTAAGGTCCAGTGACGCCTCCAGTGGTGACCAAGGTGAAATTGACCATAAGAATCCAAGTTCTTGAGCATTATTGGGTGATTTGCGAGTGTATATATGAAGAAAAAAGGTGTAAAA